ATTTTCGGCCAGGTACCCCCAGCAAGCTCCAACAAGGGATTTCCAGCAGCACCAAGGTCATTCCTGGAGGAAAAAGTATTCCCTTGTGAACCGGCCACGGGGAGCAGCGTGTGACACTGGGAGCGGTGCGAGTGCCAGCACGTCTCAGGCTTTTGGGAGCTGTGGGGACAGCCAGGCCTCTGAGCCACCAGAATCACCTCCAGAGAGACATGTGGACCTAACCACTGATGGTAACATAGTTGTGGGGATCCAGCTCCCCCACAGGGTTGCCCAGTTTGGAGATTCCAAAGGATTTCCTGATGTTGGTTCTTGCTGCAAGCTGGAAACGGTGGTCACAGCTTCAGGTGACAAGAAAAGGGTGCCAAAATCTCCACCCGTGAGCCAAAATGAAGGGAGGAGACCTTCTCTCTCTGTTTCATTCACTTCATCTCACAGGTTTGTGAGTTCAGCCTATGTGAGTGTGGCAGATAAGGCCAGAACGGTGCTGATGGCTGGTGACGTGGCTGGGAGCTCCCCAGCTTCCTCTGGAAGCACCAGTGAAAGCGCCGTGACACTGAAGTCAGAACCTCAGGAGCCTCCAGTGTTGCCAGACCGTGAACCAGCTCGGTGCTTGGTGTGCAAGAAGACAGAGCCACCAGCTCCAGGGCAGGCCAGTTGTGAGCAAGACAGGGATGCTTCCAGAGAGACAAAGCTCCTGGGAAGTGGTGAGCCACACTCCAGGCCTGCTGTGACTTCGGTGGTTGGGATGACTCCAGTGAAGAGCAGGTTTTCCACGGTCCCCAAAGCTGTTGGTCACCTAAAAGCTGCCTCAACCCCCATCTCCAGCAAAGCTCCAAAGTTCAGGAAAACTAACTACACGTGGGTTGCAAACCCTGGTAGATGCTCTCGTGCTGTGAAGAGGTGGGTGAGCCCTAGAGCTTCAGAAGGTGCTAAGAGGGTCACTGGTGGAGCAGACAAAGGTGCTAAACTGTCACCAAAAGCAGACTTGGGAGCAAAGGTGAAGAAATCAGGACTTCAGGCCAAGCTGGGGGTTTCTCCCAGCAAATACAAGTGGAAAGCCACCACCTTGCAGAGCTCACCCTCCACCTCCAAGTCAGCGTTCAGGTGGCGATCAGAGGATCAGCAGAAGCCTCCAGCCCCCAGCCTGCCTCGAGCCAGTGCTGTCCCACCGCCCCTGAGTGCTGTATCTGGTGGACTTGGTGGGGTGAAGTCCTCCTTTGGTGACACCACATTGTCCAGTTACAAAGTGAAGAGTCGGACCAAAATCATCAAGAGAAAAGGCAGCTTGGGGTGAGTTGGTGGTTGTTGATGGTGCTGGTTGTATTTTGTGTCGATTGGCTTCATGTAAGTGGCTATAAGTGAAATTCCTGTGAGGATTTCTGTCTACTGGGGGGAATATTTGCCTTTCGCTTTCCAAAGGCTTTGTTCTGTCTGGAGCCATCCTGTTTTCCAGGCTTGGGAGCTCTCAGGTTTTAATTGCTTTAGCAGTTTGTGTCTGCTTTAACCTTTGAAACACAGCTGGGATTTCTTCTCATTCCCTCTCCTGTTCTTTGCTGCAACACTTGGGAGGCTCCTCCCTGACCTGAAAAACAGACTCATGTTCAAAGGGAAGGAAATGGCTGTTTGATAACCACTCGTGTTGGGGGCTGGGGAAAGGAGGAGAAGTGGCTTGAATCACAGAATTAGAATGGTTTCGGTTAGAAAGGACTTTAAAGCTGCTCCAACCCCTGCCCCGGGCAGGGACACCTTCCACTAGAGCAGGTTGCTGCAAGCCCCTGTGTCCAACCTGGCCTTGAACACTGCCAGGGATGGGGCAGCCACAGCTTCTCTGGGCACCCTGTGCCAGCGCCTCAGCACCCTCACAGGGAAGAGCTTCTGCCTTAACTTATGCTCTCTCCTACATCTGTTGAGCAGAAGCAGAAGGGAATGAGTTGAGTTGTGCTGTCAGATACCTCATTCTCCATCTGTGCTTTGCCACAAACTCCTCACACTTGCCTTTTTAGTTGGAATTCTCTGTTCAGTGTTTCTTATCATCCTTGCTTTGGGAGCAGTGAGGAGCTCAGCGACACAGCTGCTCTGGGGAGGGGCTTTGGTCACCTCTTTACTATCTTCTTATTCTGTGGTGTTCCCTTCCCAGCTTCCCAACAGATAAGAAGAGCAGCTCCTCACCCACCACACCTCTGAAGAGCTACTTCCACCTCAGGAAGAAGAACTCCCTGAGGGGCAAACCTTCTGTAGCACCAAAGCGCTCCTTACCCAGGGGCCTGGTGCACATCACCAAGCACAGGCTCTGCAGGCTGCCAGCCACCAGGATGCAGGTCTCCACCAAGGAAGGTAGGACCAGCCATGCCAAGGAGTGATGCTATTTGCTCTGTGTGTTGGTGAAGCAATTCCAAGGGATGCTCTTGGGTTTGGAAGTGAGTTACGGAGTCCTCCAGGAGGCGTATCTGCTGGTGGTGGTCCTGGAGCAAACACTGAGGTGAAGTTTGGCTGGTGTAAGGCTTCTGCCTTACCCCAAAGGTGTGTTGTGCTTTGGTATTTCCAGACAAGGCCATTTGAAAGCTGCTTCTTGGTTTCATTGTGGTTTTGCTGGATTTGAAGGCATCAAATAAGGAGGTGCTTAAGGAAGGAAAAGGATGGCAGGGGCGGTAATACATTTGTAAGACTAATCTCTCTGCTGCATGGGGCAAAAGCTTGTCCATGCCATGAGGTGCTCCTCTAGGAGCTATAGACCTACCTACTGCACCCATATCCCAGTGCCATGGCTGCTGGCGTGTCTGTTTTGTATGTGATTGCCTAAAATAGCAATAATTAGAGGAAAACTGTATCCACTGGGTTTTATTTTGGGTCTGTGTCCTGCTGCCTTGGCTTGGCAATGGTCAGAGCTGAAATCAGGGGCTCAAAGAGCTGCACCTACGTGTGTGTAACACGTTTCTGTGATGTTCCTGGTTCTGCTGTTCAGTGGTGACGTTGTCACAGGCAATTTGTGTGCAGACAAAGAGCTGTGTTGAGATGTTGCTGTGCCTGGATGGATGGAAGGACAAAAATGGGGAAGAAGAATCAGGAAAGGGAAAAGCTTTCTGTAGGAGGAGAAGGGAAAGA